GGGGGTGGGCGGGGGGCAGAGCCCTGGAAGGTGGTTTGGGGACGTGGGCATCTTGGCCCTCCTTCCTGGGCAGATGCGACTTTGACGGTGCCCGTGTTATATTCAATAAGGCTGGGCTATTAGGTGGCCTCCTGCAGGGACCTCTGCCCACTCCCCTGCCTCTGCGTGAGGGGCAGGTCCTACTGTTTAGGCCCAGACTCTACTCTGGAAGCCCAGCACTGGATGCTAAGTATGCAATCAGCTCTGGGCTCAGGTGGCACATCTGTCCATTCCACATGCCTTCTGAGGCCCTACTGTGTGCGGACCACTGGGCTGGGCTGGGCACCAGCCATGAGTCCGTGTGCTCTGGCCCTGCCTGCAGGGAGTCAGGGTGCAGTCTGCTGGAGGCGGAAGAGGAACCGGGCACTGCAGGCGAGGGGAGAGGAGCACCCAGGAAGGAGGCCTCCCCAAGCCCTGGGAGGCGTCCAGGAAGAAGTGGCATTTGAGTATGAGTCTTGTCAAGGCCCTCAATCTAACCATCACGAACAGGAAATCAGGGACCGGCACTGGCATCGCGCTGTCCGAGGGGCCTGTCAGGCCAGCACCCAGGGTCCTCTGAGCTGCACTGAGCAGGAAACGGAGCCCGTAGATGACAGAACAGCTAGCAGGAGGGACTGTGCCAGGGGGGCCTTATTTGGGTCCTGATTTTAAAAAATACATATTTTATTGATTTTTTGCAGAGAGGAAGGGAGAGGGATACAGAGTTAGAAACATCAATCAGCCGCCTCCTGCACGCCCCCTACTGGGTATGTGCCCGCAATAGATACATGCTCTTGACCAGATTCAAGCCTGGGACCCTTGAGTCCGCAAGCCAATGCGCTATCCACTGAGACAAACCAGTTAGAGCAGCGGTTCTCAACCTGTGGGTCGCGACCCCTTTGGGGGTCAAACGACCCTTTCACAGGGGTCGCCTAAGACCATCAGAAAACACATATATAATTACATATTGTTTTTGTGATTAATCACTGTGCTTTAATTATGTTCAATTTGTAATAATGAAAATACATCCTGCATATCAGACATTTACATTATGATTCATAACAGTAGCTAAATTACAGCTATGAAGTAGCAGCAAAAATAATGTTATGGTTGGGGGTCACCACAACATGAGGAACTGTATTAAAGGGTGGCGGCATGAGGAAGGTTGAGAACCACTGGGTTAGGGCATGGATCCTGATTTTTTTTAAAATGATGATGCGTTACTCTGCTCAGGCTGCCATAACAAAATACGGCGGACGGGGAAGCTTACAGACAACAGCACTTGTTTCTCACAGTGCTGGAGGCGTGGCGTCCAGTTCAGGGTCTGTCGCTGTCGGGCTCGATTCCGGGGGAGGGGTCTCTTCCTGCTTGTCCTCGGCCACTTGTCCTTACGTGGCCTTTCCTGGGCAGGGGGCCAGGGGCTGGGGTGGGGTAGGGGTGAGAGAGATCGCTTCCTCTTCTTACAAGGCCACCAGTCCGATCAGATTTGAGCCCCACTCTTTTGACCTCATTTAACCTGAACTAACTCCCAAAGGCCCTGTTTCCAAACCCAGCCACATCGGGGGTCAGGACTTACATATGTGAACTTGGGGGACACATTTCAGGCCACAGCAGGTGGCGTTGATGAAGAACTGGCTCTGTGAATGCTGGCGAGTATTTGATTACTTTGAGGAAGGATTGCTAAACGCCTCCTAGGGGTGATAATGGGGATATGGCCTCCTATATATACACACAACGCCATCAGAAGTCCGAGTGCGGTTTAAGCGGCCTCTGCGTCATGATGCGGGGTTGATCTGCGAGGGCCAATTGAAAATATCTGTGTGTCAGTGGACCGTGCCGTCAAGCCCGCATTGTTCAGGGTGGACTGTATGTAACACGTATAAGACATACGTCTGCGTGCATATATAGAACACATCACCATCCTGTGAGTGAGTGTGTATGCCCTTCTTCCAGGTGCCTGGGAAATGTTTAGGGGCGACATCATCTGATGTCTGGGATTTGCTTTTAATGGTGGGGGGTGGGCAATGAATGTGGCTGCACGTGGAGCAGGACTGACCATGAGCCAGTGGCTGCTGGGCCTGGGTTACAGGCTCATGGGGTGCATAAAAAATAAAAGCAAAAGGGAGGAGGTTAGAGAAGTTTAAGGTTGGGGGAGGAGCCAGGCACCTGCTGGCAGAAATCGCTGAGGCGAAGCTCTGAGAGAGGCTGGGGCGTGTGAGCCCCGGTTCACAGGCGCTGGAGCCTGAAGCGCTGCCAGGCACTCGGTGCCAAGGCCCTGCACTGCAGGACAAAGACCAGTCTCAACGGAGGGCCTGGCTCAGGCCCAGCGGCCAGAACCCAGGGGGAGGGCCCGGAAGGCCTGTGCAGCTAGAACGAGGAGCGGGGGCAGTGCGGCTCTGGAAGGGCTGGGAGCCCAGGCGGCCCAGGAGACTTCGGGCAGGGCCGCCCCGGCGCACTGGGATCTGGGAAGCACTGGGTGGGGCAGTCAGAGCTCAGCCAGGCTCCCAACCAGCTCTCCGCCAGAACTGGGGGGCGTTCACCGTGGCTTTGGAGACATGACTTCTTTTGTGTTCTTACTGGGTGACTGGGAGTAAGTTACCTAACCTCTCTGATCCTCATTTTTTTCTTCTGTTTGGCTCAGCGGATAGAGCGTCAGCTCACGGGCTGGAGGCTTCCTGGGTTCGATTCTGGTCAAGGGCCCATACTTCAGTTGCAGGCTCGATCCCTGGTCCTGGTTGGGGTCCGTACAGGAAGCTGGTTCTCTCTTGCTCTCCCCCTCCCTTCTAATATCTCCTGGGATAACCATATAATCTATCACTCAAATCAATGGAAAAATATCCTCAGGTGAGGATTAACAACAACAAAGAAATGGAGTGGTAAAATGAGGGCAGTAATTGGACCCACTTCACAAGCTGTTATGGAATGAAATGAGAAAATACTTGTAACACTATAAAGAGTGTGTTTGCTATTCTTATCATCGGCAGTTTCAGGGAGGAAGGCACCCTCCCCTGGGGCAACGGGGCATTAAAATGAGAGCCCCAGTGGGAGGAGCCCCAGTGGGGAGGTGAGGCCACCACATACTCCTCCTGCCGGCCCTTCACAGGCGTGTAACTTATTTTTAATATATTTTTATTGATTTCAGAAAGGAAGGGAGAGGGAGAGCGAGATAGAAACATCAATGATGAGAGAGAATCATTGATCGGCCACCTCCTGCACACCCTCTACTGGGGAACGAGCCCGCAACCCAGTCATGTGGCCTGACTGGGAATTGAACCGTGACCTCCTGGTTAATAGGTCAGTGCTTAACCACTGAGCCACGCCGACTGGGCTATTTTTAAATTTCTGTAAGCTGTTTTCACAGCAATGAACAGGGTCAGATGCAGAGAAGAAGTTGTTGAGGACCAAGTAGAATCCACTGAGCCCTGTAACAGAGAAAGTGTGGTTGACTAGAGATGCCCTGGCCAAGAGTCCAGCCAAGGCCACAGCCCCAGAAACTACCCCTGGCCGTTGTCCCCCTGTTGTGTGGCTTCTGGAACTGGGGGTCCACGGGAGCAAAAGTTCAGCCCCCGTGAGGGAGGGGTGGGGCCGAGCAAACTCCTCCCTCTGCGGGGAGCGCCGGTCTTTCCCCTTCAGGGCTGTGGCTCTGGGACCACTTCCTCCTTCTTCACTCTGAAGCCGGGAGCAGGCCTGCTGAGCTCTTGGGAAAGACGGGAGCAGATGCCTGATGCCTTAGCCCACCTGTGACCCCAGGTGGGGTGGTGAGGGTGCGGGCTGGAGGCCTCTCTCTGCCTCAGGGGACCCTGGAGGCCTGCAGGATGGAGGGGTCGAGTAAGGAGAAGCTGGCATCTGTGTCCGATCTGGTGACTGTATTTGAGAACAGCAGGTATGGGGTGGTGGCAGGGGAGGGTCACCATGTTCACCCCTGGGCCCCTGGGCAGTACAGGTCCTCCAGGCCCGGGAGCAGGACCAGGGCCCCCTGGGCCCTCAGTGAACAGCCCTCTCTCTGGGCCTGTCCGGGACACCCCTCCTGACTGGGCAGTGGGCCACTTGGCCATGGGCTCCTCGGGGCCTAGGAGAATGTTGTTGGGGCAGCCAGGAGCTGGGCAGCGGGGAGAGTGTGTCGATGTGTTGGGGAGAGTCCCGATGTGTGTAATGATGAGAGAGATGACCTTCAACCCCCACCCACGGCCCCTCCCGCAGAATTAGAGCTAATACTGACCATCACTTACGCGTCCTGACTGGGAAAACCATACAATCTGTCACTCAAACCAGGACACATCGACACCGAGCGTGAATGCACTGACTTGTCCGGTGGGGCGGGGGCGGTAGGAAAAGCTGGGATTGTATCACAACTGGGGTGTAGGGTCGGCTCACCTGCAGGGCGCTAAGTGTTTTTTTTACCTCATTACTCATCTAACAGCCTAACAGGGGAGGTTCTATTTCTATCTACAGATGAGAAAATAAAGGCACAGAGAGGGGAAGAGGCTTTAAGTTCATGGGCAAAGGGCAGTGCAGGGGCTTCCGTCTGAAGGGGAAAGGCCGTCACATGTGTGGAGGTCATTGGCGGCCCTGGCAGGGGTGGTGCACGTGTAGGTGCGTGCATGTGTGTGTGTGCCTGTGTGCCTGTGTATGTGTGGCATTAACCCACGCTGCAGGCTTGTCAGGGTCTGTGCTAGGGACTGTCATGCTGAATCCTCGGGAGATAGACTCTGAGGTGGAGGTTTCCTTCAGGGGGTCTCTGGGGGACGTGCATGGGACAGAGGCCCGTCCCGTCCCAGGGAGTGCGGAACTGGGTGGCCCTCAGGCTGTTCCCGCTGAGGCAAGGTGGACTAATCACTGGTGTGGACTTGACCTTGGGTGAGGCAGCTCTCTTCCGGGGCCGGGGCCATTGCTAGCAGCTGCGGGGATGGTGCCTTTGCCTTGCGGGGCTGTGGGTGACACAGCTCTGCACCCCCAGGGGCCAGCAGACGTGGGGGCTACAGAATGACCCCTGCCCAGAGACTTTAGTCTTTGACGCTAAGCTCCGAGACAATAGATAGGCCCGGAGGGCACTGAGCACGCAGAGCCGCCTGGGGTTCCTGGCAGAGTGGCCCAGACGGGGCCCCAGAGGACAGCTCCACTCCCAGAGCCGGTGACTGGCCCTGCCTCTGCCAGGCTCCTTTGCCAAGCATTTCAGCACCGAGGACAGCTCTGCAGCCACCCGTTGGGCCCACCAGCCCCTTGGGTGTGGGGAGAGGGCATCACCCCACCCAGCGCCCCAGGCACGCCCAGTGGAGACCTTCAGCACGTGTGTTCTGCCCAGCAACACCCCTAGCAGGAGGAGGCAGGCCTCAGACCAGAATTTGGTCAGAGGAGGCCCTGTAGGGGGGTGAACATCACCCTTATGGTGTGAGGCAGGTGCCCCCATGCCCACCGCCTGGGCCCGGGCTTTCTGGTGAGGTCTCCAGCGCATTAGCTGATCTGAAACTGAGGGGTGAAGAGGAAACCAGCTGGCCTGGGGCACGCAGAGGGAAATGCAGAAGCTGGAACCACATGTAGAACAGAAAGCCCGAGGCCCGGCTGCTTCCATAAGCTGCAGCCCTGCAGCCTGGGGAACCGGGCACTGGGCACCGAGCGGTGGAAGAGCCCGTGAGGGGCTGTTGGAGGCCGGTCCCGATCCCCTCTCTGCTACGAACCAGCTGTGTGACTGGGGCCGGTCCTCTCTGGACCTATTTCTCCTCCACTCAGGTGGGGAGGGGCAGTTGGGAGGAAGGCTCAGGAGCCAGCCCGCCTGATCGGAATCCCACCTCTGCCACCCCCTTACTGAGAGATGATGCCCTCTGCCTCAGCTGGAAAGGGGGTAATGGAACACTTTCTCCGAGAACGTTGGAGATTTCGTACCTGGCTGGTGTCCACTTCCCAGCCTGTCTTCCTCCTAGGATGCCTGTCTGTGCTGTCATCGCAAGCCTTCCCACAGCAAAGGCAGTTGGATATACAGGGAGGTGGCCTTTGTTCCCTAAAGAACTTAATGGCCTGCAGACCCGGTAGGCAGGGTGACCAAGCTGCCCTCCGAACCCCATCGCTGGGAGCCCAGGAAAACTGCTCAGACCGGCCTTCTCCTCATCCCCCGCTGGAGGCACAGGGGAGGTGCACAGGGAGGGTGATTGGCAGCAGAGGGTTGGGGCACTCAAACCTCTGTGTGCAGGCGGGGTTCCCGGCTGCATTTCTCGGGGCCGGGGGTGGGGATGTGGGGGGGGGGCTGTTCCCACGTACAGATCTTAAACGTTGGGAGGGCAGGATGTGGGGTTCAGATCTTCGCTCCTTGGGGAGCAGCTCTGGTTTGACTCCTCCAGACTGTGGGCGGCGCCGGGAGTGGGTTCTGTGGCGAGATCATGTCTGTCCCTCCTGCCTGTTAAGTGTGGGCCTTCCCTCGTTCGCCTAACGCAGTGTTCGGCAAACGGCGGCTCGCCAGCCACATGCGGCTCTTTGGCCCCTTGAGAGTGGCTCTTCCTAAGCCTTAGGAGGACCCTGATTAAGTTAATAACAATGTACCTCCCTATATAGTTTAAGTTTAAAAATGTGGCTCTCAGAAGAAATTCCAGTCGCTGTGCTGTTGCTATTTGGCTCTGCTGACCAATGAGTTTGCCGACCTCTGGCCCTCATGCGATGGAGTCCAGGTGTCAGCGGCTGGTGCTCAGGGCTTTTGGAGGAAGTTGTTTCCTGTGTGGGATTGTTGTCTAGGTCTGTGTGCAGATTTGGTCTGAAGGGTCCTCTCACATCCCCATCTGGACACCCCCCAGCACTGACTGCTAACTTAGGTCTGCGCGGGTGGTTGCAGGATCGCTGTGTCAGCTCCCAGCATCTCCCTGCACAGCGGGGAGAGGCTCCTGGCTGCATGTTAAACAGGGAAGTATGCAGTTCACGCTGACTCATTCTGAAGCCTGGAGTTCCCTCCGAGAGAGCTGGGAGGGAAGTGGATGTTTACTTAGCGACTCCTCCTGAGGGCCAGGCCCTCGGGGGCCACTGCACCCTGTGATTTGCATCACCCACCCCTACTGCCCACCACGCAGGTGCTGTTCCCCCCGCTCTACAGACAGGCACCCTCAGGTGTGTCTCTCCGCAGGGCGCCAGGAGCAGCGCCCGGGGCCCACCATGCCGGGTGCAGGTCTCCCTCACCCAAGGGGCCGGGGGAGGCCCTGGAGTCCGGGCCCAGGACGGTCAGCAGGAGGTACCTGAGCTCCCTGAAGAACAAGCTGTCCAGTGGGGCCTGGAGGAAATCTTGCCAGCTCAGCAGCTGCCCCGAGCCAGGGACACAGGTGCCTGGGGGCTGGGGTAGAAGTGGGGAGCTGGGGTCCCCTCCACTGACCCCTGCCCCGCACAGTCTCTCTCTCCCAGCCAGCACCAGCACTTCCCCAGCTGGAAGCGAGCCCCTCCCAGTTAAAGGCTTTTGAGTAAGTGTCCAGCGTGTACCCCGCTGCTGGGATTTCACGTTCCCCTCTGTGCGGGCGTCTGTCAGGCCAGGGCAGCCAAGCTCAGACAGCTTAAGCCTAAGTGGTTCTCAACCTTCCTAATGCCGCGACCCTTTAATACAGTTCCTCCTGTTGTGGTGACCCCCAACCATAAGATTATTTTCGTTGCTACTTCATAACTGTAATGTTGCTACTGTTATGAATCGTCATGTAAATATCTGATATGCAGGATGGTCTTAGGCGACCCCTGTGAAAGGGTCGTTCGACCGCCAAAGGGGTCGCGACCCATAGGTTGAGAACCACTGGTTTAAGGGGCTTGTCCAAGGAACAGTCTCCATCTTGTAAACCAGGTACCCTTCCCAGTGGGGCCTCAGTTTACCCACTGAAGGAGGCAACAATCCCATCTAGAAGCAGAGGTCAGTGCTAATTCCTGTCCTTAGACTGATCCGGGAAGGTCACCTCCCTTCTCTGGGTTTCAGGGTCCTCGTCTGTGCAGTTCAAAGGGGGGCTGCAAGATGCTTGGCCCTGGGGCCAGACTGCCCGGGCTCACTCCCCGCTCTTCTGCTTGCTAACTGTGCGACCTGGGGCAAGTCCTCTTAACCTCCCTGCACCTTAGTTTCCCCCCTTGCAAATGAAGATGATGATCACAATAGTACGTCTGATTATTAATCGCCACATAACAAACCACCCAACACGCCGTTGCCAAATAGTTTATTCTTCCTTACCATTCTGTGGGTTGCCTGGAGTTCTACTGGGTGGTTCTTCTATTGGTCTCGCTTGGGGTTTGTCCTAGTCACCCCAGGCTGCCATAACACAATACCACAGCCTGGGTGACTGAAAGGACAGAAACGTATTTTCCCATAATTCTGGAGCTGGAAGTCCAAGGTCAAGGTGCCGCAGGGCTGGTTTCTGGTGAGGCCTCTCTCCCTGGCTTGCAGGTGGCTGTCTTCTTGTCCTCACGTGGCCTCTTCTCTGTGCACTGCTTTCCTGTGCCGCTTCCTCTTCCTACCCAACACCAGTGGATGAGGGCCCTGCCCTGATGCCTTCAGTTCACCTTAACTACCTCCAGAAAGGCCCTAGCTCTAAACAGTTATGTTAGAGGTTAGGCCAGTGATGGCGAACCTTTTGAGCTCGGCGTGTCAGCATTTTGAAAAACCCTAACTTAACTCTGGTGCCGTGTCACATATAGAAATTTTTTGATCTTTGCAACCATAGTAAAACGAAGACTTATATTTTTGATATTTATTTTATACATTTAAATGCCATTTAACAAAGAAAAAACAACCAAAAAATGAGTTTGTGTGTCACCTCTGACACGCGTGTCATAGGTTTGCCATCACTGGGTTAGGGCTTCAACATATAAATTTGAGAGGGACACAACTTCGTCCATGGCAGGGTCTCTCACGTGGCTGCAGTCAGATGGTAGCTGGAGCTAGAATGCCCCCAAAGCTCAACCCTCTAGCATGGTGCCTGGCCAGAGGCTGGGCTCAGCTGGGACGTGGCATGGTGGCCCCTGGCTCTGTCCGTAGAATCTCAGGGCTTCTCCTCCCCATGGGGTCTCTCCACCAGGGCCACCAGACCTCCAGATGCACTGAGGGCATGAGTACTGGGAGGGCATAAATGCCAGGAGGTGCGTTTCACTGGGGCATCTTTAAAGACAATGCCCCAGGTGCCCATCAGAGGAGACCAAAGCTGTCCCTCTCCTTCTCCCTCCACACCCCCTGCAGGAGCCTGAGAAGAGGATCGTCCAGGAGCTGCTGGAGACTGAGCAGGCCTACGTGGCCCGTCTGCACCTGCTGGACCAGGCCAGTGGCTAGGACACCCCCACCTGAGCCCCAGCACCTGGTCTCCTCACCTCACCCCTGCTCTCCCTCCCGACCCACCTCACCAGAGCTGGGAGTTAGGACCCCTCAACCTGATTCTAGGAGGCCTGAGTCCTCTAACCCTGCTGGCTGGAGTAGGCAGAAACCAGGACAGCCCGTCAGCGCCACTCCCCACTCCCACCTTGGTGCCTGGCACCTCACCTGTGCCGAGTACACACCAGCCAGTCCTCCCAGGCCCCCACAGCACCCTCACCCCAAGGCAAACATCCTCAGCTATCATCCCTTCACACTTTTTTAAAGAGCCCAAGGCGAGGGGTTCCAATCACTGCACCCCAGTAGAGGCACCTTTAGGCTGGCAAAGTCTAAGACCCCGACAGCCCCGACTGGCCCATTCCTGACATTCATCAGCCACCTGCCTTTGGCCAAGTCCACGAGTCCCTAGGCCAGGGTTTGCCCATCTGTAAAGTGGCCGGAATACAGTCTTCCCTGCCTGTATTCTCTGGGGTTGTTGGGAGGATGCGGGGGGTTAGGGAGGTGAGAGCACTCAGTAAGCGGGAGCTTGACCTGGGGCCTTGCGGGTCCCCCCGGGCTGCCGGGGGCTCCCTCTCTGCGGGGCCCCCTGACCCTGTGGCGGCTGCAGGTGTTCTTCCAGGAGCTGCTGGAGGAGGCCCGTAGCAGCAAGGCCTTCCCCGAGGACGTGGTCCGGCTCATCTTCTCCAACATCTCCTCCATCTACCAGTTCCACGCGCAGTTCTTCCTCCCAGAGCTCCAGCGGCGGCTGGATGACTGGTGAGGTCCACCAGGAGCCCCGCGTCCCCCGACCACAGCCCCGACCACAGCCCCGGGGCCTGGTCGGGGTGCTGCCCCCAGGGCCCTGGCTGTGTGGCCATGACGGTCTCCTGCTCTGCGCTCACTGTCTGCACAGTGAGGGGCTTGGATGAATGAGCCCTGGGTGTGTGTGTCCTGGGAGGGAGGGACCAGGTCCTCACTAGGCTGGGTGACTTAGGAGGCTGGACTAACCTTCCTCCATGCCCGGCCGGGGGCTTTCTACCTGTTCACTCATTTAATCTTCAGCTCAGCCCCCTGTGTGATGGGGCATCGTAGTTATGCAAGAAACCCTCTCTGTTTTCAGAAGTGACCACTCAAGTATTTGGTGGTAAAATTACTTGCTTTATGTATTTTGCCAAAGAAATGCCACAATGTCTGGGATGTCCTTTAAGATTCTTCAGCAAAGAAGCATGTTAGTGATTATTCAATCCAGTGATGAGTATGTAGTTCATTGTTATATTCTTTTGACTTTATATGTATTTTTAAAGTCAACCCTCCGAGGTCACCTGCCATCATTTTCACTTTTCCAGATGGGAAAACTGAACTATAGAGAGGCTAGTTGACTTGCCCATGAAACTCAGCTAGAACAAGAGGCAGCTAGACTAAGAGACGCAGCTGGGAATCACACGCATAGCTGCCTCCTGCACACCCCCTCCTGGGGATGTGCCCACAACCAAGGCACATGCCCTTGACCAGAATCAAACCCGGGACCTTTCAGTCCCCAGGCCAACGCTCTATCCAGTGAGCCAAACCGGCTAGGGCTGCCCTGCTCTTAAAGTTCCTGGGTTGCATGGCCTTCAGGCCCTTCCACGGGCGACCCTTGACGAGTTCTTCCCCTGGGTCTCCATGTCCTCCTCCAAGCAGGGCTGCGGGACTGAATGAGAGGAGGAGCGCAGTGCTTGGCACATGGCCCTCGTTACTGTCACAGGAACAAGTACCCAGTGGGTACTGAACACCTGTCCTGGGCCCAGCCAGTGCTGGCCTTTGGGGGAGCCCAGTCCGTGGGAGAGAACACGCCCCCCGTCACATACGTGTGGGATGACACGCCCCATGACTGAACCCAGAGTGCAGTGGGAAGGCTGCTTTGGCGGGTCAGGGCCCGGCCTCACCTACCTGCCCGGAGGGAGAGGAGGTCCTCAGGCCGAGAGTCATACTGGGTGCCCCTCCCGCAGGTCAGCCACCCCCCGCATCGGGGATGTGATCCAGAAGCTGGCCCCCTTCCTGAAGATGTACAGTGAGTATGTCAAGAACTTTGAGCGAGCCGCGGAGCTGCTGGCCACCTGGACTGACAAGTCTCCCCGCTTCCAGGAGATTCTCACTCGAATTCAGGTGAGCTTGGGTCGGGGCGGGGCAGTGGCTGCATTTCCCCAGCGATCTGGGGCACCTCCCAGGCTCAGCCTTCCCTCGATTCCCTCGCCCCTCCTGCTCTCACCCCGCACTCCTCCTCCCTTTATCCCTCCCTAAGAGCAGGGAGGCCTCGGGCAGCCTGACCCTGCAGCACCACATGCTGGAACCTGTGCAGAGAATCCCACGCTACGAGCTGCTGCTCAAGGAGTACGTCCAGAAGCTGCCAGCCCAGGCCCCGGACCGGGCTGATGCCCAGAGTGAGGACACGCCCGGGGCACCCAGGGATGGGGAGGCCGCGCTGCTCCCATATAGTCACTGAGCACCTGCTAAAATGTTATAATAGCATCAGCCATCGACCTGGACCGTTGGTACTTGGTAGACATTATCTACACCGTTAGCTACTTTTTGTTGTTGTTAACTCTCACCCGAGGATATTTTCCCACTGATTTTTAGAGAGAGTGGAAGGGAGATAGGGACGGGGAGAGAGAGAGAAACATCAGTGTGAGAGAGACACATGGATGGGTTGCCTCTCGCACATGCCCCAGCCCAGGGTGAGGGATTGAACCTGCAACCCAGGTACATGCCCTTGACCGAGAATCAAACCCGCGGCCCTTCGGTGTGAGTGCCGATGCTCTAACCATCTAGGCACACTGGCCAGGACCCACTAGCCATATTTTGCAGGCAAGGACATTGAGGTCCAGAGAGGTTAAGTGACTTGCTTGATAGCAAGCAGCCAGAAAGGGGCGGAGCGGGGCTTTGAAGCCAGGCCTTCCCAGTGCTTCCTGGGTCGGGGGAGCGGTGGGAGAGACAGACGCCGGCCGCCTGAGCCCCGTCTTGCGGTGGCTCCCAACTCTCCAGCCTGGAGGGAAGTGGCCCCCATCACCAGCTCAGGGCCCTGCCTCAGCCTCCAGCTGGATTTTCAGGGGATAACTCTGGTTCTGTCCTGCCCCCCAGAAGCCCTTGACTTGATCTTCTCAGCCGCGCAACACTCCAACGCAGCCATCAAGGAGATGGTGAGCAGCCCCGCCCGCAGGGGAGGGGTCCGGGGTCCCCTGGGGCCCTGCCTCCTCCTTCCTGCAGCTGTCAGCCTCCCCAGCCCACCCAGGTCTCTGCACCCCCCCATCCCTGGTCCCTCACCCCTCGCCCCCTCACCCCCTGTCCCAGAAGGAGGTGGGCCCTGCGCGTGACTGAGGGTACACCGTCCCCAGGAGCGGCTGCAGGACCTGTGGGAAGTGTACCAGCGCCTGGGCCTGGAGGACGACATCGTGGACCCCTCCAACGCTCTGCTCCGCGAGGGCCCCGTGCTCAAGATCTCCTTCCGCTGCAGAGACCCCACGGAGCGCTACCTTTTCCTGGTAGGGGAGGTGGGGTGTCACACCGCGGGGCCTGCCCAGGCACTACCCCCGGGAGGAGCAGGGAAGAGCCTGCTGGCCAGTCCGCTGCTGTGGCTCCAGCGGCCTCCGGGCCTGGGGGCTCCCAGCTGCGGGGTGTCCCAGACACGCCCCGGGGAGCCACAGCGTCGGCATCTGAATCCAGACCCTTGGGCTCCGAAGCCCGTGGTGTGATCTGTGCTCTAGGCGGCACAGCAGGGCGGTTAGGTTAGCTACCAGTTAGGAGGAACTGCCTGGCTGGCACCGGAGACCTGGAAGCTGGTCCTGCCTGGTGGGCGGGGTGCAGGGAGCTCCTGTCCCCTAAGCCCTGAGAAAGGCCTCCCAGGTTTCTGGCTCTGCCGTGGCCCCTGGATGCCCACTGGCAGGGCAGCCCCTTCCTCCCCACGCGTGACATCCTAGGAGCTGGCCCAGAGTGTGGCCAGAGGGGCAGGGACCGTGGCGCTGGGGTCCGTCAGGGAGCCCGCCTGGCCATTTCCCGCCCCCACTGCACACGCCCGTGCTGTGTCTCCTGCAGTTCAACAACATGCTGCTCTACTGCGTGCCTAGGGTCATCCAGGTGGGCGCCCACTTCCAGGTGAGGACCCGCATCGACGTGGCCGGCATGAAGGTGAGAGGCGCCCCAGCCACTGTCGGGCTTCACCCCGAGGGTGGGCCAAGTGTAGGGGTGAGCAGGAGGGGCCCACCGGGTTCTCAGTCCAGGAACCCAGGCCTGGCAGGGCCCAAGCCAGTGAGGATGTGGGAAATTTGGGGTTAGAGCTGCCCATCGGGGCTCCCAGCCCTCTTGCCAGGGCCCTTCCAGTCCCCAGAGGCCTTTGGGGTCCCCCCAGCAGGTGTCACTTGGCTTTCCCCACTGTCTACACCGACACTTCCAGAACTCGCATGTGTGCATGAGTCCCTGGGGGTCTTGTTAAATTCGGGTTCTGACTCAGTGGCAGGGGGGGCGGTCGTTTCTAGCCAGCTCCCGGGCGATGCTGACACTGCAAGCCCACAGGCCACACTGAGTAGCAAGGGGCCACGCCATCATGTCGCCATCCAGAGATGGCCTCAGCGTCGGTGACAGCGCCCGCTGACGGTGGTCACCGTGGGCCGGCCCTACTTCCTCCCCCCAGGTCCTCACAGCCCTGTGAGGTGGGGCTCTTATTGTCCCCGGCCTTTGCGGGTTTAAAAATCTTTTTAAAATAATAATTTTATTACTTTAAGAATATAGATAATACACAAGCCAAAATCAAACAATGTGAAGGATATATGCAATGCAAAGTCCCCTCCCCAGGCCTCCCCTCGGTCCCTTCCTGGCGACAGCCTAGGCCTCGTGGGGGGCCTGCCGGGGGTCTTTGCGAACGAACGCGCACTGTAATCATTATTGCTCCCTTTTGTTTCGCATACACAGTGGAACTGCCTTCCACACACACTGTTCTGCATGTTGCTTGTTGGACTAATCCTGGTTCTGGAGACGGATGTGTGGGGTGCACATGAGGTGCGAGTCTTGCTTTTGCTCAGCTGCATAGTGTCCCGGGGCGTGGTGAGCCGGGAGTCACTCGGCCAGGCCTCACTGAGCGGCGTTTAGGTTGTTTGCAGGTGTCAGTCTCTGCAAATGAGTTGAATAACTGTGTGCATTTGGCTGTGTGTGAGTGTATCTGTAGTTAATTCTATTTTTAAGAATAAGGCAATACGCCCTGTCTGGTTTGGCTCAATAGATAGAGCGGCGGCCTGTGGACTGAAGGGTCCCTGGTTTGATTCCGGTCAAGGGCGCATGCCCAGGGTTTCAGGAGTGATCCCCCAGTAGAGGGCATGCAGGAGGCAGCCAATCAATGATCCTCTCTCATCATTGGTGTTTCTAGGTCTCTCTCTTTCCTTCTCCCTTCCTCTCTGAAATTAATAAAAGTATATTAAAAAAAGAAAAAAAGAATAAGGCAGCAGCCCTGGCCTATGTGGCCCAATCGGTTGAGCATTGTCCCATGCACCAAAGAGTGGTGTATTCGATTCCCGGTCAGGGCACATACCCACGTTTCAGCTTCCATCCCTGGTTGGGGGCTGAATGGGTGGTGGCTGTTAGATGTTTCTCTCCCACATTGATGTCTGTCTGTCTCTCTCCCTCCCCCTCTCCCTCTCCCTTCTTCTCTCTAAAATAATTTCTAAGTCAAAAATAGTTTTAAAAAATAAGGCAGTAAACTCTGATCCATACAGACAATGGAATATTTTTCAGTGATAAAAAGAAGTGAGCTATCAATCCATGAAAAGACATGGGGAAACATTAATGCCTGACTATGTGAAAGAAGCAGCCTGAAAAGGCAAATACTACACGATTCTAACTATATGACATGGAAAGGCAAACGATGGAGGCAATAGAAGGACCAGTAGTTGCCAGGTGGTGGGGGGAGAGAGGGACGAGTAGGCAGAGCACAGAGGATTTTTAGGGCACTGAAAGTATTTTGTATGATATGATAATGGTAGATACATGTCATTACCCATTTTTCCAAACCCATAGAATGTACAACACCAAGCATGAACCCTGACGTAAACTACGAACCTTAGGTGTGTCCATGTAGGTTCATTGATGGTAGGTAATGAATGCTCCTGTCTGGGGTGGGGGCTGATAACAGGGGAGGCTGTGCATGTGTGGAGGCAGGGCAATAGGGGAATTCCCTGTACCTTCCTCTCAATTTTGCTGTGAACTTAAAACTGTTCTAAAAATTGTCTTTTAAAAAAATAAAGAAACCAAGCCCCAGAAACGTTAAGTGACTTGCTTGGGGTCAGACCAGGATTGAAGACTCAGGTATAACAGAGCCCAGAGCCCCTGTACCAAATTGCCTTACTACACTGGTTCCTGTTAAGGCTTCAATCCAGAGGGATAAAGCTTTTGGCAGAATTGCAGGCGCAGTGGCAGAAATGGTGGGGGACCTTCTTGATCACTCCTCTCTGATCCCTCCTGAGTCCAGGTGTGTCCTGAGGGCTGGGGATGGAAGAAGCATGTGCAGGTGTGTTTGTTTTTACAAAAATTCTCAATATATTCAATATTATTTTAGTATTTATATTCATTTCAGGTGTACAGCATAGTGGTTAGACAATCATATACTCTGCAAAGTGTTCCTTCCAATATTTTCAGTATGCACCTGACACTATATATAGTTATTACAATACTAGAGGACCAGTGCACGAATTCATGCACCAGTGGGGTCCCTTCGCCTGGCCTGTGGGATCAAGCCAAAACTGGGTCTTTGACATCCCTCGAGGAGTCCTGGATTGCAAGAGGGTGCAGGCCAGGCCGAGGGACCCCACTGGTGCACAATTGAGGCCGGGGAGGAACAGGGGAGGTTGGCCAGCAAGAGGACTCCAGGGTATGTCCAGCCCATCTCGCTCAGTCCAGATCCGCCGGACCCCAGTAGCAAGCTAACTTACTGGTCAAAAGGTCTGCCCCCTGGTGGTCAGTGCATGTCACAGCAAGTGGTTGAGTGGCCTTAGCATATTATGCTTTGATTGGTTGAACAGACGACTGGACAACCAGACACTTAGCATATTAGGCTTTTATTATATAGGACTAGAGGCCCAGTGCACAAAAACTTGTGCATTCAGTGGGGAATGG